CCCTGGTCTGGTGGGAGATGTCCCTGCTCATGGCAGGGGGGTTGGAAGCAGATGATCTTCAAGGTCCCTTCCAACCCAAACCATTCCATGATTCTGTAACTGAACCTTTCCTTTGGCTCTGTTTCTTTGGCCTGGCTTTCTCGGTGTTCATTCTGACAGTGAACTACCAGCATGCAGCTGCTCCTGGTGGGCAGCAGGCTGAGTGCCTCTGAGCTCCGCGGGGCTTGTCCTCTCCTCCCTCTCTCCTGGCAGTGTTGATGCGATGTCTTTGCTTGGTTCCTTTGTCAGGCCAAAGACAAGGAGTGGTGGATCAAGGCCTTCTCCCAGTTCTGCAATAAAACGGCAAACGAAGAAGAGGAGATTGTGCACAAGCTGCTGGGGGACAAATTTAAGGTAGGAGCCTGGCAACGCTTGGATGTGTGAGCCTGCCCTCTCCCTGCCTGCGTCTGCGAGCCCACGGGTGCAGAGGCCCCGTTACAGCTGGGATGGGAGACACTGGAAATCCCAGGCTCGAAGTGGGGGCACAAAGCCCCCCATTAGGGACTGGCTGACCTGACAGAGAGGAATCTGGTTGCTTAGAGGGCTTTGGGCTTGTGCTGCAGTGGGACACACTGCTCGTTCCTGTGGTGGGGATGCTTCTGCTGTGGGCTGGGACAGGGTGATATTTAGGTGCTGAATAGGTGGGTTTTTCTGCTAAAATGGGTGGCTTTCGCCACTCTGAGGGCAGCAGCCTCCAGCCTCGCAGGGAAGGATGAGGAGCCTGACTCTTGGGCCTTCTAGCCCATGCCGGCCTCAGCTGTCAGCCTGGGTCTGACTCCCAGCCGCGTCTCCCTGTGCTGACGGTGTTGCCATCTCCTGCCAGGGCCAGCTGGAGCTGCTGCGGTTGCTCTTCACCGAAGCCCTTTACGATGAATATCTCAGCAGGGTGAGTTGAGCCCAGAGCATGGCAGGACCCTTCGCTTGGCGCCAGCCCCCCTGGGTCACATCTGCCCCGAAGGCCAGGGCTTCCCCTGGGACTCTGCCCGTTCCTTGCTCCCCCCCAAAGCTCCCTGTGGGATTTGAGTGCTTGCAGAGTGGGGTGCTGCCACAGGCTGGCCTGGGCTCAGCTGCTTTCTCGTCTCCCTTCTGCAGTGGTTCACTCCAGAAGGCTTTCGATCCCTCTTTGCCCTCGTTGGGACCAATGGCCAAGGCATAGGAACAAGGTAATGGGGCTTTCTGGGTGCTCCTTGCAGGGCAGCAGAGATGTGGCATGGAGAGCATGTACAGTCCATGAATCCACGCTGGCCTGGGTAATAATGGCTGGGTTCAGATGTGAGAGATGGGGTTGGAGAGGCAAAATTAAAACCAGTCCTTCATCTTACCCGTGCCCATCCCTTTGCTGTCCCTCTGCCAGACCTCGGCCACTCAGAGCCACTGAATTTAACCTTTAGTTCCCCCTGCGAGGTCTCACCACGTGCCAGCAGCGCTGTGGGCCTGTAACGATGTCCCTCTGCTTCCCGACAGCTCTCTGAGCCAGTGGGTGCACGCTTGCGATGCCCTGGATCTCCCCATGCTGCAGCGAGAGGAGCTGGACGCCTTCATCGACCAGCTCTACAAGGACATCGAGAAGGGTGAGGCTTGGAAGCGGCCGTGGGCAGCGTCACGCAGCGCTGTTTCACAGAATCCCAGCATGGCAGGGGTTGGAAGGGACCTCTGTGGGTCATCTAGTCCAACCCCCCTGCTGAAGTAGGGTCACCTACAGCAGGCTGCACCAGAGCCTGGTGGAGTTTCTGCTGCTGGAGACTGTTCCCAGGATTCAGGGACTGGGAGGGA